AGGATGGACCTGAGTTCTGCGATGGACCCCAGTTCTAGGATGGATTCGAGTTCTAGGGTGTATCTGAGTTCTAGGATGGACCCAAGTTCTAGGATGGACCCAAGTTCTAGGATGGACCTGAGTTCTTGGATGGATTCGAGTTCTAGGGTGTATCTGAGTTCTAGGATGGACCCAAGTTCTAGGATGGACCTGAGTTCTTGGATGGATTCGAGTTCTAGGGTGTATCTGAGGTCTAGGATGGACCCAAGTTCTGGGATGGACCTGAGTTCTGGGATGGATTCGAGTTTTAGGGCAAATCTGAGTTGAGATGGACCGAGTCATGAGAATTTCTATCTGATTCGCTTACCTGATACCTCTGGGACTGATTTCTACAACAAAAAACATAGAAGAAACCAGTAAATCCAGTCAGATTTGCTCATGGTTGTTCTCACGGACCAGTTTAACAGTTCATAATGAGACAGACCAAAAGCAACAAACCACACAAATCGTTACTCATAGAAACACGGTGACTACATGATCACTGACTGTATTGATATGAAACAAACTGACCAAGATAAGAACTGTTCATCAATGGTGCACAGAATGTGTTAATATTATTTTAATATTGACAGATATAGAAATACACAAATAATGATAATTATTATTAATATCATTATTTTTATTATTACCGGTATTGTATAGAAAAGCCACAACATATTTAATTTTTAATCAAATATGCTTTGAACTGGATATTGTTTTATTCACATAACAAAAACAAAAGAATATTTTAAAAGCATGATCTGATTTTATTAGGACATTACAAATTTCCAAAGAGCAGCGTGAGATCAGGAAGAAACAGGTCTTCCTGCATTCTCTCTGTCTTTTTTACTTGCTGTCAGTATTTTGAGCAGCAAAAAGGCAGTGCTTGCCTGTTGACATATGTCTGCTAAGACGTAAGACAAACATCTGCTTCCTGTCACTAGCCTTTACCTGCCTGTTTTTTTATCCTCCTGCTTCCAAACGGGCTATAAAAAGCCACCATCAGTTCAGCAACGGCACTACATCTGATTTTCCAGCTCCTAGAATTGGTGAATGGGTTGAAATGAAATTGAAAATGAACTTTTAAAGATGTAAAAGGAGTTGGGATCAAATGTTAATTTACTCCACTTAACTCCTCTGTTTTTAGCTCAAAGGCCACCCAGGACTAATTTCTCTTTCTTTACAAGTCAGCGCTGCTGAGGAGATAAGTGCAGGGAGACTATGGTCCATTATACCTCTGCTCAGTTAATCACACAACTGTACACTCTCAGCTTCATGCATCAGGCTTTAGAAGCATCTCCCCAAGCAATCTGTAATGAAAAAAATCACTGAGGACAAGCTCTGGCTACCTAACCAATATTTCACTTGGGAAATCTCAGTTTGTGTAAAACGTTTTTGCTAAAATACGCTTTAATCGGAGCAAAAACAATTGTAAAGCAACATATCAGCATTTTTATTTTATTTTAATGAAAGCTACATTTTCCAAATAAAATTTAATACTTCAAATGCCAAGAGATTTCTTCAAAATCAGTCCCATCTATTATCGTCCACTTATCCGGGGTCAGATAAGTAGACGATGTGGAGGAGCAACAGATCTACTCAGAGCCCCTCCCGGATGATCGAGTTTATCACGCTATCTCTAAGGGAGAGCCCAGACACCCTGCAGAGAAAGTAATTTCAGCCACTTGTATGCACAATCTCGTACTTGCGGTCACTACCTGAAGCTCGTGGCCATAGGTGAGGGTAGGAAAGTAGATTGATCGGTGAATCTAGTGCTTTGAGTCCTGTTTATTTATTTATTTATTTTCTGTAGAAACATCTTCTATAACTTGGGAGAAACTGGTCTGCCATTCTCATAATGTAGGACTTTCACTGCTTTACCCCAGCAAGGTCCTAGGGAGGCGGTTTGTGTCTCCAGCAGACATCAGAGGCAGGGGACACACTGGAAAGTCTTCAGTCCATCACATGACCACACAGAGACACACAACCAATCACATTCACTTAGCCAGTTAACCTGGCGTGCATGTTTTTGGTCTGTGGGAGGAAACCAGAGTACCCAGTGAAAATCCACACGTGCTAGGATAATGTGCTAACTCCACACAGAAAGGCCATAACCTGTCACCTTCATGCTCAAAGGTAAGACAGAACACATAAAATCCACTCAGAGATGCTCCTCTCTAGGAACCTCCAAACTAATCAGAGTTTGATATCCTCAAGTTAGACTTCCCTTACAGGATTTTAAAATATCTGCAAACTCCTTGTAAAAAAACAGTTATTTTAATTGGACAGCTGTGCTTTTTAATCTGTTAGCTCCCACAACTTCTTATCATCTGGAGCGTTCTGGTGAGATGAATTCACACCAACATGAAAAGAAAAAGAAATTGTGTTTCCTTAGTTGTTGGAATCTTTGATCAAGGATCAAAGCTGAAACATCCTGCATTTTATCACAGACTCCACCCAGACTTATTTATTTTATTCTGTGCATTGTCTAAGTGTTGCAGAATGCATTAATGACTCCACCAAGCCTAAAGTAAACAACCTAATGATTGTCAGCAGTGCAACAGTCAATAACATCTGCATCTGGAGCCACATTATCCTTATAAGAGAAATTAAAAATCATGCTGAATTGTGGTATTTTTGTTAGAACCTCATACTAATTTAATTTTGCATTAGTGGGATGCAATTACAGCACTTTACATTTTAATATAAACAATCACTCTATTAAAATATGGTATAACACGGGTCTATGAACAATGCAGTATAACGCAATAAATCAAACCATGACAAAATTACATTATATTTAATCTAATATGAACTCTACCTTAATAATATAAATGATCTCTTTCTCTAATTTAATTGGCACTAGCTTGGTGCATATTGCTAATATAATTCTGAATTTCCATATTTAATGATGCATGCGCTTCGTGGTGAATTTTACTTAGAAAATGTTCGTCTTTAATGAACCTTGGAAAAGTCTCTAATAGGCATGATCGAAGAAAATATAACTTATTTAATCAGAAGGTTTTAAGACCAATTTTGGAGATTGCAATACTTAAAGTAGCACAAGTCACGAGGAAACAAATGAATTTATTAGTAAAGCTAGAACAAGCTGTAGGTTTTAGTGCAGCAGCTAAAGGGTTTCTGTGGTTTCTGGGACACGATAAAGAAATGTAACTTTTTACAGCTCATATGAATGCACTAAAATTAAACTGAACAATGGTTTATTTATATTATTAAATATTTGAGAATTTTCAAGAAATTATTCATCTGTAAAGCTACATTTGTAAGCTAACTCTGAATATCAAATAAAAAATAAAATAAAAGCCAACAGACTTGATCAGATTGTAATGTAGGGTGTATGTGTAATATTCAGGATAAAGATATGATTTCTAGAGAAAGGTGCTCGATGAAGTTCTGCACTGGTTGAGTGGACAAATGTGCTCTCCCGGGAAACCGTCTGTGCATTGCACTTGAATTCAACTTGTGCGGCTACATCTCTTTTCTCCTCCTCCTCTCATATGCTGTAATAAAGCCACATGTGCACATTTGCACGTTGCTCAATTGGTGATTTGTTTAAAAAATATTGTGTTTTAGTCGTGTTTACGTGGTTGTAAAAACAAAGACGTCTGAGAGACACAAACATCGGACACAAGCTGAGACGGAAGACGGGGGGATGAAGAACTCTGCTGTGAAAATGAGAATAAATGAATGTCAATTTCCATGTGGAATTGCTAACCAATGGTCCATTAAGGCAGCCTTTCCACAACAGACAGACAAAATAGCCTGAATTAGAAGTGTCTGACATTTCAGTTAATTGCACTAACTATGTCAGCAAGCAGCAGCTTCAAACCAGATCTTCACCTTCTTTCCAGCACAAAAAGACACATTCATGTAGGACAAATAAATTATGTGAAACAAGAGACAGAAATTAAACTTGACTTAAATCACCTGTAATAGAGCTACGGAACAAAGCTAATTGTTTTGTCAGTAATCAAAAGAAAAATCCATAAAAATTGGTGCAGGATCTTTACATTAAATAGATTTTTTTGGCCATTTTTAAGTGTGTTTTTGTGTAAAACTTACAGAAATGATTCATATCAGATAGATTTCTGTTCGGAGAAATAACATTTATGTACCACAGACAGGACTGATAGGCTAACAGCTAGTCTAAACCGGCCAAGACCAAGTTTCTGCTAAAAATTAACTTTCTAATTCTGCATGCCGTGCTATTGTAATATTTCCCCACCACATTTCTTTTTTTTTCATTTCCAAAATGCCGGCAGTGTAACGACGGGAATTTTCTTGCAGTTTTACCATAAGCAAGCATGTTTAAAATGGCTGCCTGGCGTAAGTTGCGTTGATCTGAACCATTGGTTGTGCACGTCCACCCAAATAACACGACTCATTCCCATGCTGCAATATATGAGTAACCAGTAGGTGGAGTTAACAAAACAAGAGAGACACAGTCATCATGGTCACTGCATCTCTCTGCTGTGATCTCAAAAGTAACCAGTGACTGATCTATTCTATTGATGTCATGTTTGTTTTGCTTATACACACAAATCTGAGACTCTTATCTGGTCTGAGTCCTCTACTTGTGGCATACTTCACCTACAGTGCAGCTCAGCAGCAAGTATGTGAACAACGGCCTGCTGCCTGCATCAATGCAAGGTCAACACACAAATATATTCAATGCCAGAATTTTACTACAAATGATGTCATGAAATTGTGAAACTTTTAAAAAGGGAATGTTTTAGTTTCATACAAATGTCACTTTAGCTGCTTTGTGTCTACAGTAATAGACCTTTGTGTACTGAGCCAATCTAGCCCTTAGCTCATCAATCCTGCAGTAATCTTTATTACTCTGTGCAGACGCTGTTCACAAAGCTGTCTATATGTGGCATAGTAACTGTTTGGTCAAAATGGCTGAAAAATCTAGCAATTAATGAATAAATACCAAGCAAACAAAACACACCCTGGTGTCATGAAAGCAAAAGGTTTATTCATGTTTGAAATTACACAACTACCACAAGGAAGACTTTTCTGTCCAGGGTGTAGTCTGGTTAGAAAGTAACACTAAACATTTTTAATACATTAGAATCACTGTCACAAATCATTTGTCATGACTTTTCAGTTTCAGAATCACATACAATAGAAAAAAAAGAGAAAACCCTGTTGAACAGAGCTGGAAATGTACAGTTCTGATACTGAAACCTCTATGCAATACAGCTTTTCTTGTGATTTTTTTTTTCCATTTTTTTTCTGAATGATTTAGTAACAAGATGAGCAACATTCAAAATGCGTATTTTTTTTTCAACTATTTACAACAGTTTTACTGTTTGGTGTTTAATTAACATTTGTCATCACACTCCCTCAAAACAAAATGAAAAAAAAGCCACAAACCAACATTATCTTTCCCTCCCCCTTTTTCTTTTTCATTGTATTAATATTGTTGTTGTTTTTTTTTATTCATTTTCAGTTGCGGTACCGCAACATAGTTTTATTAAAAGATTAAAATATACATTAGATTACATAGAGAATGAAGAGTTTATGGAATCAAAATAACAACATAAAACATTAAATAGGGGCCAGAAAGACAGAAAGAAAGAAATAAAGAAAGAAAGAAAGAAAGAAAGAAAGAAAGAAAGAAAGAAAGAAAGAAAGAAAGAAAGAAAGAAAGAAAGAAAGAAAGAAAGTGTGTATGTGATATTGTTTAGAGGTAGTAAGTGGGCACTCTAAGCTACAGAAATGTTGGAAGTGACTGTATTCTGTGACTGAGGTCAGAAAGCTGCGTACTGATTGGTCGGGAGTTTAACTGCTCTTATGTTATTTAACGACTTCTCCTGCGTAACGAGACAGCGGGGCTCCTGTGTGCCGTGACACGATGATCTACTGTTGATTCCATAAGCAGAGTACAAAAAGAAATGTTTACATATGTACAACAAAGGAACTAATTATAAAATATGGAATGGTGTCACCTTCTAGTCGAGCAATCAATTACACGTCTTTATGTTCACACAGTTTGAAAAGTTGTTTTCGTGTACTAATGTACACAGCTGTAAGAGAAAAATAAATCTTCCAAGTTACTACGAAGCTGCCATCAAGCTGTCAATGTTAGCATTGTTGAGTTGCTGGACAAGAAAAAAAAATGCTTTAATTGAAAGAAATGAAAGTGATCCCAATTATTAAAATGGAGAATAGCAATCAAATCAAGACTAAAACAAACGGTCGTTTAAAATGTCGTAAAATGTGTTTTTTAAATGGAGATAGAGATAATTATCGTGAATGTTTACCCAGGAATCTGAGGGATATTGTACATGTCTATGTGTTTATCACCACAACAAACAAGTAAAAACATGTTAATACAATTGATTTATGGAGACGGGAAGAAAACGCAGCGCGGTCCGGAAACACTTCAGTGTCCATAATGGAGGATGTCATCTGCAGGTGTGAGGGTGTGGTCATGTGGGAGTTTTAAAGTACCGGAAAACCAATTTAAAAGATTTTCTTTGAATCCTCAGCTGATTTTCTGCTAAATAAAGAAGTCCATGCTCAACTTGAGGAGAAGATGCATTTGCTAGCTGATCAGTTCGACGTGTCGGAGTGCGCACTTCCTGGTCCTTCTGTTGGAGATATTACAGAAGACGGAGTCATTGCATCTTGCCATCCTCCATTAGCCTAGCAAAGAGATAAAAAAAGCTTGGGTTTACAATTAGACACGATGCAACACGAGCTGTAGACATTTTAAAAATAGAGCAGATTCTAGTTTCACTAATGTGTCAGCTGATATTAAATTTCCCCAGATACAAAGATGCTATGTGAGTAGGCCCGTCTTTGAATTACATTGGCATCAGCAAAGAGACTCTTAGAAACAAATTTGTCTTGTGTCTGGACCAATGGGAGCAGACCCTGAAATCATTGTCTAAGCAGATTTCTGCAGCAACCGACAGCTTGTCGCTACATATTCTCCTGTCAGTCAGGAAGAAGGAGGGCTAGGCCGGGTGAGGTGGGGGGAGCTGAGTGAAAGTGACAAGGGAGGGCCTCTCCAAGAGAGCCAGTCTTAGCCAGCCTGACTATGCTTTTGCTCCAGGCGTGACCTAGCCTTTACTGGATCTCTCTACGTCACCAGCGTCAAAGCTAAAGGTTAGTCTCTGCAAATATCTCCACAGACCAGAGGCTGGGTTGTTGCAAAATAAAACTAAAAACAACTGGAAAAAAAACTATTTTCACTGCTGCGAATGCTCTGATTTTCTCTTTCAATCTTGCATCTATTCAGCAGAGGGTAATGTATCCACTGGCTGTACTCGACCAGCAAGCACAGGTCTGCACATGGAAGTGAGAAACCTTGTGAGAAAGTAGAAAACGCTTGATCCTGCTAGGAGCTGACATGTCTAAAGAGCTTACAGCAATAAGGCTGCAGCCAAGCCAACATTACACCGAAACACTGAATGCTAAAAAGCAACTGCCACCGTTTGTTTACATAAAGCCCATCGGGTTAGCTTACAAAAATCATCCTGTAATTTTTCAGCCATCAGTAAATTCAATGTTATTTTTTTCTTACTGTGCGTGCGTGCGTGCGTGTGTGTGTGTGTGTGTGTGTGTGTGTGTGTGTGTGTGTGTGTGTGTGTGTGTGTGTGTGTGTATTTTAGCCAATAGGCATACCGTAACAACATAAAGAGAGTGGTTCTGATATAGTGCAGGGAGAAAGCTGTCGGATACTATTTCTCTCTCATTCTCTCGCTCACTCTTCCTCCCGCCTCATCAAGGGAATTAATCTTTACCCTAATGGCTTCAGATTATGCGTTGCTTTACAAGAAAAAAAAGGCACCATATCAAACCTCATCAGGAAAGATGGAATTCATGTCTGGAAAAAGGCTGCAGGCGATCACATGTTCCTATTTTATAATGAAGTCTGTGGAATTTCCTGTGAAGCATTTCTAAACAGCTCTAAATTCAGGAAGGTGTGCACGCTGCGGTGAAGTCAAGCAAATCTTTATTGTAGAACATTAGATTTGAGACCTGCAGATTTAGCTAAATTTTTATTACCATACAATGAAAATGTGAATATAAAATAAATAAATAAAGCAAACAACTATGATTATTTAACAAATGTCTACTTACATTTTGGCCGTGTGGGTTGTACATGGTGTTTCCCGCCAGAGCATCATTGTATCCTGCCGTCTGACTGATAACATGGTGCAGGGTATCCACCTAACGGGATGGACAGGGTGGACACAGGTCAGCACTGCCAGTAGTCCACACTCTAAACATGCTAAGAGTTGCTAACTAGTGTAGACTCCTGAGACAGCCAGTGTAACATCCAGCTAACAGACTCCTCATAAATGAAAACCAAAGACACCAGCATGCTTAGATCTATTGTCAACAGTGACTATGGACTGATAAACCAAAAATGGAAGCATAAGTAAAATAAAACACAGCACATATAATGTGGCTGCTTCACAGGAGTTATAAATGTCTGCCTCTGTTCATAAACAGGCAAAGACTTTGGTAGCGAGTGGGTAACTCGGCAGCAGTAAACTTACAAGATGGAAGACGCCGACAACAAACAGGAACAAGGTGAGACAGGAAGACAGCAATAGAGAGTAGACAACAAGAGGAGGGAACGTTGTACCAAAAACCCCCAAACCAACCCAAGAGCTCAAGTCAAAGCCAAATGCGTTCACTACGTGTTTCAGAACCAGGATTTTGCTTCCTGGCATGATCGCAGAGGAGCAGGATTATATTTTGTCTGCCAAAACATTCCATCCAAAGCAGAGTGGCCAGTAAACACTTCAGTCGTTTGGATGTTATTGGAGGCCAAACTTGGCCGTTTGAACCACCCTTTAGCATGAGCGGCTTTCGATTTAACAGTCTGTGGATGGCTCAGTACACAGGCACGACGAGGACAGCCCTCTGCAGTGGTTCTCAGAGGCTGTCCCCGGTGGTTGGTCCTACCTGTGACTGTACATTGGCTCCGACTTGTACTCCTTGGTAAGAATCCCCATTCAGACTCTGCATGCTCAAGAACATGTCCCCAGTGTTTGGGAGGCTAAAAGAACCCGAAGAACCTGGAAAGGGAAGATGTAAGCAGCTAAATACATGAGAGGGCTATAAAGGGAAAGCACAGACACACGCGCCCACGCACACAGACTCACAGCACGCGTGTGTCTGTGAAAACAAAACCCAATTCAAGCAGACAAGTACACAGAAAAACAACTCCCACAGAGCAGGCAGCTACGGGGGTAAAGGACAGGAAGCATAAAGAGCCAAACAGAGGAGGATGATATGCAGGAAGGGGAGGGGCTAAAGATCTTTGGACAAATGTGGTGAACACAAATGAAATGGGAATCACATGACACATCGGGGCCCGGTTCTACATGTGGTTGGTCGCTTAAGCTCCCAATTGTTCCACATCACCTACTTCCAGCCTAAAGCTGACAGGGAGGTATCATAATAGCAAATGACAAAGACAATAAGAAGCTTATGAAAAGACCAGTACCAGTAAACATGTTGCTTAAAAGAGTGTTTTTGCTCTCTGCAGAATCCAGCTGAAACTCTTCGTCTTTCATCTGGAATCCTGGGTGCAAGAAAAAGGGACCACTTCATAAGCGCACCACATCCCGACGTAGGTCAACCAAGTCCAATCTCAGCAATACAGAACTTATTAAAGGGCACTACACGCGCCCTCAAAGGCTCCATGTTTGATGTTCCTAAACATGAACTGCACATGAATCCATTTTAATGTTACTCTAGGTTACAAAAATGCTCCCAGCAATTATTTTTCACTTTGTTTTGAGAACAACTCTCTTCCATTCACTGGGGCTACATACCATTATCTTACAAATGATAGGAAGCTGACAGAAAGTCAAGGGAAAACAAATCCCATGGCATCTTTTGGACTTCTTTTTATTTCTCCCAGAATACATGTGTTCTCGGTTCACAAGTCAGGAACGCTCTCTTTATGCATGAGTTTGCTAGGCATCAACTGTCTTATAGACAGGAGACACTGTGATCCCCAAGCTGGGAGCAGAGCCTGTCACTCTCGCCAGTGTGAACGGTGCATCAGAAAGAGTGGCAAGAAGGCAGCAGGTTAAGCACTGAGGCTGAGGGCAGATCTTTCTGTTTTATTTTTATTTTTTCATCGAGATGCAGAAGTGCCTACCAGAGTTGGGGGTGGTGGGGGAGTTGGCCTGGCTGTTCTGCACTGCAGCGGCTGCAGCGTGCGCTGCATTCACAGCAGTCTTGGCGGCGTACAGGTTTGCTTCTTCCTGAAACTTGCCGATGTTTTTCTTGTACCGGATCCTTTTGTTGCCAAACCAGTTGGATACCTGCGTGGGAAAGCAGAGGGAGGAGGAGCAGAGGAGTCAGACGTCAAGCAGCCACAGCACCGTGCATGGAGCACCGTGATTGTTTCAAGATGTCACGTTTGGGTCCATCAAGTACCCAATTCCCAGCCTCTGCAGTAATGTCCGCCGGGTACACAAGCTAATTAAGCCATAATCAGGAGCCACTTGTGTCTTCTCATGGATGGGAGCATGACATGCGCTCACATCTGTCTCCAGACGAAGCTAAAACACAAGAGGCTCCTGTTGCACAGACAATAAAGTCAGTGTGATAGATTTTCTGTATAAAGACGGGTTATTAGTGCTGCAAGTTTTGACATATTCCTTAGTGGAAAGCATGAACATTCACGATTCATCCCCTAAATAACACTCACTGACTCCAGATCAGTGACTCTAAGTGACTGACATCACATGCAAATGCAACACCCTACAGATTTAAATACAGCCAAGAGGTGAATAACATGAAAGTTTACTTAAACACAGTAAAAACACATAAAAGTTGTTCAGTTTGACTAAAACAAATTCATATTTAGAGCCCTTATAATATTTTGTTTCTGATTAATGGTGCTTTGATTAAAAAATGCCATTGTGTGTGTGTGTGTGTGTGTGTGTGTGTGTGTGTGTGTGCGTGCGTGCGTGCGTGCGTGTGTGTGCGTGCGTGCGTGCGTGCGTGCGTGCGTGTGTGTGTGTGTGTGTGCACTTGGTAAATGTGAGCATTTTTGCATTATTAGCTAAAAACAGAGTAATGAGTAAATGTTAGCGATCACTGGACTTGTCTGCTTTTGTTGACATATCAAAAAAAAATTCTAGAATTGAAAATGTTACCAAAGCTTAGCTTGCTGCACGTTTTCCTGCTTTGTTTTTGCTGGCTTCCGTGTGTAACGTAAAATAAATAATTCTGTCTAAAACCACATTTATCTTTAGCACATCCGGTTGCTCCCCTGCAAACAGTCAACGTTGCATGGACGTGCAGATCATGTCTATATTGAGTCTGTGGGTCCAGACCACATCTGTATGAAGTCTACACTAGGTCTTTGCACAGTGGGTCTGGTCCAGACTGAGGTGGGAAGTTTCTTTTTTTTGTGCTTTTTGAACATCTTTTCCACAACATTTATCCTAAAAACTCCAGAACTCTTTGTGACTAAATTATGGGACAACATTGTCTAACAGTGCCTTTTTTGAATATCTTCATGTCCCACGTCTCCTGACTATGTATGATAATGGGTGTTCTGTGTGCCTATTTCAGCTGAAAAGGTGAACTTTTTGTGTCCAAATGTCACCAACATTTGCTGAGATACTGGCGTGTGGTAGAATAAAAACGGTCTCTATCTGTAGCATATTAATCAGTGCAGAATGTTTTTTTATTTATTTAAATCCAGGTTTTTGTATTTTCCTTGACTTCACTTCACCGGCATAAAATACACTAAAATGGGATTGTCTACAGATCAGATTTGGACAAATTGGACTGAAAACTCGCACGAGAAGTAAACCCTATGTGTGAATGCTGGTTCTGCGATAACAGTGGAATAATAATGAGATGATCCTTGTATGTAATGGTCCTATAAATTAGAGTGTCTTGTCGCTGCTAACACCCCCCCCCCCCCAGGCCCTACAGCCCCATGGCCGGACCAGCCAGAGAGCAGCTGCCCCTAATGACGCTTTATTTAATTTCCACCCATGTGCTTAAATTTTAATATCCCTAGCAGCCCGCCGATGTTGTGGCGTTAAAAACTGACTGGATTTGCAGGACATCAGATCATTCCTATCCTGCACGTCTGTGTGCTCTAAATCTTTAATATCTAGGCAATTAAAATTAATGACCATTCAGGCGAGGCCCACTGTTGGCAGGGCTTACTTGACATCAATTGTTTGATGGGTTTACCTAGAGGTTAAACTAACAAGCAAGGTTTAATTGGAAGCAATGAAAGCCCTGGCCATCATCCTTTTTACTTAACCTGCTTATAGAGGATTGTAGGGCCAACATGGTGCAATATTCTCGCTTGTTTAGATGGCGCACATTGTGCCCGCAAACCCTTAAAATCCATGCTTTTTAACTCTGGTTGGTATATTCTAATCAATAAAATAGTGATGAAGAACATTAAATAGGTTCATGCTGAAAATAATTTAAACTATTATAGGTTTCATTTTATAGTGTTTAACAGCAGTGCAGCATATAATACAACTAAATCCTGATATATGGTTATTTTTACTTTAAATATTTGCTTTTTAAAACATTTTCTTTCTGTTTTTGTCTTTCAATGAGCAACAAACCTGGCTTAATGCAACAGTTGAGAACATTACACCCCAACATATACTCTTCTGTCCTGATCATTGAGCTCTAGCTTTAGGGATTCGCACATTTAGCTAAAAAATCTATTTTATAAACCCAGAAAACTAATTCCCACCTATCTGCGGGCGGGGCGTGCATTCAGCTGAATTTATTTTTGAATAGAGCCAGGCTAACATGAGCTGCCTCACAGGCACTGGTGGTATAATCACCACTCAGGGTTCTCACAAGGACACATTATTGCTTTTAATAATGCCAGCTTAGGAGGCCTCGCAGCTTTAGTTAACATTGTAACCGGTTTCTTCTTTTGGTTTACAAAAAACACAAAATGAAGCATTTCTGATCTTTAATTAATCCGATCATTCTGTTTTAGCCAAACACACAAAGCTGACATAAAACTTTATCAGCAACATGACTCAAAGTGTAATTCAGAAAGAAAAACAAAACACATTTCAGTTTTTACCGTAAATGTCTGGTCACTAATTGGTGAAATGTTGCCTGTGGAGCGTCTGACACAAACCAAAACCATCTAATGGCATGCTTTAATCGCAACACACATGCAAAGTGACAGAGGGAAGCAGACGGACTCCTGCATAAAGACCCACTTAAGAGACATCAAGCCTTCGCTGGACTTGAGTTATTTGCAATAAAAGAAGCAAGATTCAATAATCAAATCAGACACACGCAACAGGGATCATCTTGTATTCATTCTGAGTTTTGCTCGTCATGGGATACAACTGGAGAATTATTAGGGTAAATAAAATAAAATAACATAGAAAATGCCTCTTCTGAACTGCAGGGATTTAGTTTTCCTGTGGTAGATGTCTGCACGTCCTATGCATGTTAAATGACTCCAGCTAAAATAAATAAATAAATAAAAATGACGGCGGGCATTTCATCAGAGATGATGCATCAAGGAAAAGCTGCAGAGCGATATTGGCAGACCAGACACAACGGATGGTGTTTACTTAATGAACTATGTGTGCAATCAACAAAGCCGCACAAAAAGGAGTTAGCAGGAGTCTGAAAAATGACTCCAGCGTGACCTCAAAGAGCCGTTTTGTAGCTCTGAAAGGTCGAGCAGCTGTAAGGGATAAACATTTCACCAAGCCTCTGACTTTGTTGCTCACGTACAATAACTAATATATCCATTTATCAGTTTATTTTAAAGCTATCTGTAATTTCTGGATCTTATTTTGAAGTTTTACTCATGAGAGGGAAAAGGGTTGAATGGCTTAATTGGAAAGAAAGAAAATGTAAATAAAGACCGGAGTGGTTATTTTTTAAACAGGTGTAAAGAACAGAATCATAACAAAGAGGAAGGAATATTTAAATAGTAATAATAATGTGACACATTTTTACACACATAACATGGTGATAACATGGATGTAGTGCAAATCAGTGAACCCATTGAACAGGCTGTGTGGTGTTACAGGTTGAAGGCTTAATATTGTTATTAATAAAAACAATTTAAGCAAATTTCACTTTCTTTTATTGTAACATTAGCACTGGTGTGTGAGGGAGGGAGGATCTGTGCAGTGGAGAAAACTGTAAGCCTGTTGCACACATAAACGAAAGGAGGTTCAAAGAAAATGAAAACAGTGGATCAGGAGAGGTTATGACATACCTGTGACACTGTGATGGTGCTTCCCACCCCCTGAAGGCAAAAAAGAATGGGCTTTTTACAGTATCTGACTCTTCATGACTACACTCAATATACCCCCTCCCCACACAGACAAAAACACTGCAGATAATTGTATAGATTCATGTTTCTGTGATACTGGGTCTCACGAGGATATCCATAGAATAACAGAGGATCAAAATCTCTATAGTAGTCACAGACACAGCAGAAAAAAGAAAAGGGAGAGAGAGAGAGAGAGAGAGAGAGAGAGAGAGAGAGAGAGAGAGAGAGAGAGAGAGAGAGAGAGAGAGAGAGAGAGAGAGAGAGAGAGAACAAGATAATAATACTTTGGAAGTGTGGGTTAGGTGTGAGAGATATTGCCTTCAGGTTTTACCCTAATGAACTGGAGGCTGTGATCTACAGAGAGTGGAAAGTCTCATCTCTAAGTGTAAAGTATAACAGTGAATTAGAAGCATCCTACAGATAAATGCCCAATATCAGCCACGCTTCTGAAACACCAGCCTTTAGATGCTTTTCTTAAAGTAATGGATGATGCCATTTTTATCTCCCTCAGCTTATGACCTGGACGACTGACCGGGCATCAGAGAGAGTGCACACATGGTGGATGGGAATGAGAGGGGGGGAAGAATGTCAAGGGACCCAGCATAAGGAAGGACAGCATAGTGCCATGATTGAGGCTAAGATGATATAGGCCTCCCCTTCCCTGTGGCCCTGCTCTGACTGACTGGGACCAGCCTTGACTGAAGCATCATTAGGCAGTCACAATGTCAAGGTTAGCAGAGGACATTGTGTCTTGGCGCTGTGACCTAACTGTCACCATCCCTCTAGGCCTCCCCACCTTGATTACCCACCAGCTACTGCTAGATGAGCGCTACCCACCTGGGAAACGGTGATGCTGCACTTCTTAGCCAGCTCCTCTTTAGCTTCCTCGCTGGGGTACGGGTTGCTGAGGTGCGAGTAGAAGTACTCGTTCAAAATTTCGGTCGCCTGCTTGCTGAAGTTTCTCCTTTTTCGCCTGAGTGGAGAGCGGAACAAGAGAGAGGCCAGGCGAGCCTTATTAGCCAGACCAGCGGCAACCCTTCCATTCGGACCGCACAATCACTCGCACATGTAAACGGCTAAAATAATGAGCGATTGGTTCTAATGGGTCTTCAAGAGCAGAATATCGTGTGAGAGCACAGAAACACACTTCTGACCAATAAACACACACACACACACACACACACACACACACACACACACTTACACAAATGCACAAAGTCCCAAAACACATACAATGTTTAATTTGGTCTGTTAGTCTCCAATCTCCAGTCCAAGCGTGTAATGTGTAGAGTTTAGTGCAGCGGATGGGTGGGCTTCATGATGGAGCACGAAGCCCAGTCGGAGTGCATCTCGGTACATTATAAAAATCACAGCATGCACAGTTGAGCATTGTTCCTGAAGTGCCACAGCCCCAGGTCCTCCAGCAGAAACAAGGAAACTCTAACTAGATCTGGGTCCCCATGCCTCCCAAGGGCACTACTTATCATGCTGTTGAGCATTTGCTTATTTTGCCTTGTTTACTGTGCTGCTCACAGGCAGCGGGCAGCAAATGTGCTTCCACTCGGCTTGTTTGGCCACAACTTGTGCCGCTCTCAGCAGAGCTCTGTCGTACTGTTGGTGATTAGAGTAATCCACAACACCTGCTGATGACCTCCCCTCCATCCATTACGCACGACTCGGTCCCCCGTTTCATTTGGTCTTAACTGCTCTCAGGTGCGGGGGCATGATTGTCTTGAAAATGGATAACGCATGGAACATGGGCATAATTAAATTCATGGATCTCTGTGGTGCTCATACTGTGTGCTGTGCTAGAAATGCAGAAGAAACTTTAAATTTGCACAAAGTCTGAAAACTACCCACTGTGTTTGCTTATATGGGTCATACAGAAGCAACAGAAGTTAGTGGATGCCAAATACATTCACACATTTACTCCAAACACACACACACACACACACACACACACACACACAGAATCCACTGACCTGGCATCAAGGAATCTAGAGCGCAGGATCATGACAGCCTCGCAGGTGCTTTGCTTCAGTTGCATCTGGATGGAGCTGAATTTACGGTGGATTATTCCCACCATGCGCTCAATCTCTTTGGGTGAGATGGGTCGCGTGCGAGACTGTTCCCTCAGCAGGTTCATCACATGGGTAGTGAACTCGTTACACGCCTGAAAAGAAACAGAAGGGCATAAACAAGCCGAGTGAGCTGTCTCTAATCACAGCAGAGTTTGAAGAACTTCAAAACACTCACTGATTGATTTCCCAAAGTCATTTTCACTTTTAATTCATCAAACAACATGTTTACATGCAGGAAATCAAAGCTTTTAAGAGGCCGCTTTGTTTTCACGTGACTCCAGCGACATAACAGATGAAGTCATCTTTGAATAAAAGCACATTTGTAATTTTGTTTGCCAGTATTTCAGTGAGAGTGTGAAAAAGCCTTTTGTTCAACCAGTAGTTCAAATGTGATTAATTAGAATAACTCATTTACGTAGTGCTCACCTTAGCTCATTACTCTGAGTAAAGTTCGTTAAGTATTTACATTTAGATAATTAAAACACGGAAACACCCTTAAGAAAGATGCATTTACTCCAGGCAAGGAGTCGCGTGCCCCGCACCTCCTCTAGGAGAGTGAATTAGTCTAATCTAGCTCCCTGGCTTGCTGAGGCATCACTGTTGCACCTTTTTATTTTCATCCATAATGCCTCTGAGTTTAATGGCAAAGCGCTAGGTGGAGAAGCTGATCATATTTTCATTTAACACAGATGACAAGTGTGGTCCTTTGGATCTCTGCAATCATCTGCAACACAGTAAATAATGTTTATCTGCTAAATATTCCCTCTCATATTAAATGGAATCATCTCTAACGTGATGCATGAACGACTCTGGGTGCTGCAGGTCAACTTCAACAGGTAAAAGAGTTTTTTTTTTCTGGGATATTTTTTTTAATAAAAACGAGTTTAAGTAAAAGCCCAGCCCTGATGCAGATTTTCAGGAGATTTGCACAAATCTCCACTCACCTGCTCGTATTTCTCCAGCTCCGTGTGGTAGATCTGTCTGATCTGTGTGAGTTTGGCTCTGTAGTCTGAATGTTCGATGGAGTTGTCGGCCGCTCCGCCTGAGGCCGCAGCGGCAGCGGCGGCGGCAGCAGATCCGCCACCTTTCTCTGGTCCTGCCACTCCTTCTGCCAGCAGCATGTTGTCTAGACGCATAAGCTGAGGGTCTGGAGGGTCCTCCTCCTGAGCACCGCGGATGCTGAGACCTGCAAACAAACAAGGGGGACAGTGTTTCAGCAAGCTAGAGGAAGATACAAATACAAAGAAAAAGATCAAATGTTTCCAGATTGAGCGGTTAAGTGCAATTAAATCCAGTATGTCTGCACAGTCTGCCATACTGAGTCCTCCCTGGCAGGTATGAACTGAGTGCCTCCTGTGTATGTGCTGTGTTCCTGTCGCCTGCATCTATGTCTGTTCCCTTTTATTTACACACTGCGCTGCACACAGTGTGTACGGGAAAGCTGACATGACAGCAACATCCATAAACTGACAAATGCTCAATAGTGAAGTGGCACTTCTACTCTGTGAAAGGATGCTAAACAGGAAACTATACCTACAGTAAGTGTCTCTGCCTTTCACACAGGGCGTGCTGGGAACTCCACAATGTTGGTACAGTCTTCCTCATCTCTATATGCTAGGGTTGTCACGATACTAAAATTTCAAACTCGATTCGATACTTGAAAAAAAACTCGATACTCGATTTCGATACTATTTAAAAACACCCATTTATCAAACAAGTTTATTCAAAAAATAACATTCCTCAATTTATATTACAAAAATTAAATGTTAAGAATTAAGTGTATTAAGTGCTTAAACCTTTCAAGTATCAGCATTTTTTAAAACGTGCATACAAAAACTGGTGAAAGTTAACACTTTAAATCATGAATTGTCTCACTATATATACACTATTTGCAGAGTGATGTTTTGCTGCTTAAACTCTGTTTAAGGTGCATTTTTGTCATAAGCTGTAATACCATATGTTTTGTTCTGTACTTTTGAACAACTCTGTTGGTCAATAAAGGGAGAAAACGAATTTCTCCACAGTAGGACAAAGGTACATCTACCGGTAATCTTAATAAAAACAGATTGGCGCACGGCAGTGACGTCATTAAAAGCGCCGGTTAGATTAGCCGCAGCTAGTCTGTTCACGCCTAGAAATCCCAGACCCGCTCCAAACGAACAGGGGAATCACGTTAATGATTCCTAACAAAACCTTTCGAGATGAAGATGTTTTGGTGTAGATAATGTCTTATTTCGAGGCTGCACCATTGGTGCCCGTTCGCACCCGTTATATGGATATACGCTGACGGCGATTCGGCAATGGATCTTAATACGCCGGGGAATCCAAGTAGCACCAAAGTTGTCAGCGTGAGTAAACAAACGTACTGCATGCTAGAAATTAAGTCCGGGTTGCAATAAACGGGAGTTTCCTTTAAGCACATAAGCGTGAATATACAACTACGTGTCGGACTTGGTATGCTAATTAAGTTGGGCTGTGAAGCGCCTCCCAAATTCGCTGTTTATGTTTTTGTTTATTTGGCAGACAAAACTTGGATCGGAGACAACTCGCGTGGGAAATTGCAATGTAGCCATGCGGCGTCTTCTTCTGTTTGTCTGGGAGGCGGAGGCTGCTTTACGGCATCTGGCTGTCGTGCGTGTCGGTGTACTTGAAGAAGGCTGTGTATAATAGTCCATAATATCGATACCACAGGGATGGAATATCTCATTTAGATACCACTTTTAGTATCGATTTATATCTGGGTATCGATTTTTTTGACAACACTACTATATGCTTCTAATTTGTCTATGTCGTTGATCAATTTACAGTCCTGATGAATTTTATATTATATTATATTATATTATAATACATGCTGTGCTGGGTAAGAGTTAGGGTTGGTCTATGCAACAGATGTTAAAACAAATCAGATTTTCTTCCCAGATTTAGCATTCTGGTTTATTTTCCAATTTGTCTTGTCACACACAGATAGTGTCCATTCACACCTGGGTGCACTGGCACCGCCTCCTCCACAACATTACGCCGGGCTTTCCAAAGAGTAAACAAACAAAAAGACACTGCAGGTCAAAATGACAGCAAAAACAAGCACTGGCCTTGTAAGTGGACACAAATGTGGCTCAATAAGCAGTAAATACTGAGCAGCCACTCAAACGTTATGATTATCACACTTGTTTCAATTCAATAATCCCTCCCGCAATTCAGGGATTTTCAACAGCTCATTACAGCTTCATTAAGATATGGCCAGCCTCTGGATCCTAAATAAGAAGATTAGTGGCTCTATTGTGTCAGCCAGTAGGCATGCAATCAGAGAAGCCCCCTTCTACCAGGCTCTGACCGGCTGACCCCGCTCACCCTCCGCAGGAGGAAACTAAAGAGAAAACAACCCTCTTTTCTCTTTATATCTTCCCTGTGGAAAACAGTCCAGTGTGGGGAAAAATAAATATATCCAGGCAACATATTGCGGCGGCGTCGCAGGTGTTTTCATCTCTGTTGGTGTTTTGTTCGACTCACAGCGCCAGAGAAAAACAAATTTGCCTGTATTTATGGATCGGCAGGCTTGGAGTCTTTTAGGTGTAATGGTGTGAGAGGAGTGGATGAATGTGGCTATTTGTGTTGGAGACATTGAGATGCTGGACAGGACTCCATCAGGCCTGCAGAGCCAAGCCATCCGAGTGGACAATACGCCACTGCTCCACTAACCCTCACTCACATCACGCTCCACCCAAAAGCCCATCGCTCCGTTCTGGAGAGACTCCATCCCCCCCCCCCCCCCCCCCCCCCCCCCCCCCCCCCTTTTTTTGTGGCACAAAACAAAACGGCACGCGATCCAAACGTAGATTGAGCAGATTGGCTCTGCAGCTCGACGTGCTCTAATAGCTGATGGTTTATCTGCCACAACAGTTCATATTTTCCTAATTTGCTATTTACTCCCACTCCGATTCAACACGAGCGCAGCGGGCCGTGCTTTCCTTTGTGCAGCAGGAGGTGGTAAGTGGGCAGGCACGTTTTTCATGTCAGGTATATTAAATATAACTCTGGGACGCCACGTACATTTTCCACACCAAACCCAGTTGTCACTTTCACTCCACTCACTCTTTATCCAGGGGAAATGCAGTTGAGGGAATTTACAGGGCTTTTCAGCTAAATGGGCATAAATCACTGGTTTCATTCAAACTAAATAATCACAGACCATAAAGAGCTACTTGTCTCTTACCATATATTACCAGGAAGTTCCCCCCGGCGAGCACACGCAATATTGTGGCCGTTCGCAGCAAAGGAAAACAGAGCGGGACGTTAGAAAGTGACGTGTAATCCTGTTAGCTCGCTGGCATGCGGAGTGGCCGTGACATTTTTATCATACGTGTCCATTTCTATTTGGGAAATCAACGGGATAAAAATGATTACTCCGCTGCTCCGAGAGGCAGACGGCCCTGCAGGAGTCCACCTGGGTGTGTTTGTGCCACTGCTCAGGCTGGTCATTCATAACGCGCGTTGGGAGGATGTCTCAAACTCCCAAAAGCTTAAAAAAAAATAACATTAATAAAAGTAAGAAGTCTTATCTCTGGACTGCTGTCTCTTTCTGTGCACCTTTTGTTGCAGGAGCCAAAGATTTGGGTTTCACTGTTTAAGCTGAGCATCACATAACTTCCACAACATAACCTGGAGCCAGATAATATCTTTAATTTGCTGTGTGGTTGACAAATCTGTATCGTAATTCTACGGTCACGTCCTAACGCCGCCATGCTGCTTTTGCAGCTCAAATCTTTATCCTGATTTTTGTCTGATGATACGGGTATTAAAACAAGTTTGGGCACCCAACTTTAGCTCTAATCCACCTCCGCAGTCAAAGTGGGATTAATCTCACAGCAAAGGGAAGAGAGTGAGATTGGTGTCACCTTGATGAAAAACACCTGCAAACAATGGCATCTGAAAAACCTATACTTGTTCCAGTTACTTCACGCTGGCCTGATCATGACGACGACGGTGGCGGTGGTGACGATGGTGACGGCAGCTCAATTAATTACTCTTCACTGATGTAGAGGAAAAAGAAAAGGAAAATCTGGAATTGTATTAATAATAATGCCACATGTCCTTAATCGGCCTCATTTGTCACTCAACAGTTCAGGTGGGGTAGCTGGGAAAATCCCATGCATGTATGATTGTTCCTCATTTTTCTTCTGTGGCTGAGACAAAAGGAGACGCTGTGATTAATCCACGCCTATCACTCAGAGGTGGCTCCTCTTTTCACTTTTTACAGGTCTAACCGCTGCTATCTGATCCGAGGAAGGAGTCAATTTGACAGATAAAAACATTGAAACGCTTTCCTCTTATATACCCCAACACACACACACACACCTCCCGTGTTCTCTGTTTATAATCATTTCCGGTTCACGGCGGTCGTCTCGTACATCATTCCCTGCTTGAAGCTCTGACAGTGATCTGAGCACCGCCTCCGGGCCGTTCTCCTTTCCTTCCACCTCTTTTCCCCCTTGTGCCCTCTTTTATTCTGTGGGCTTAGCTGACCTCTTGTTTACTCTCATCACTGAAGTGTGAGCAGGAGAGCCATAAAGGCAGAGCCCTGCTGGGTTAATGTGGCCTGCTGAAGGGAAAAGAGGTTCCTCTGGGCTTCTCCATCTCGTTCTGCAGCACACGCTGCACTGTCGAGCAACAGGAAAGCGCTCTGAAAAAGCACCGAATAAAGCCTTAAAGGTTTACTGGGATCAGTTTCAGTCAACAACTTGTTGGGTTTTTGAGTCTCTTCATAGATCTGTCAATAGTTTGTTTTGCGACTGTGGCCAATGTCCCGATCGTTCTGTCGTGATCAGGGATAAGTACCATGTTTGGTGCTTTTTAAGACACCGACCAAATTCCATGGTATCGACCCAAGGACCTGATTGACGTGATATGAAACGGTGCCTTGCTTTGGTACCATAGAGTTCACTGTCTGATTTCTCAAGATAGACAGCAGCTCATGCTATACATATATATATATATATATATATATACACATATATATATATATATATGTGTATATATATATATATATATATATATGTGTGTGTGTGTGTATATATATATAATTTAAAAGATAATTAATTAATTATTAAACAGTCAAAAGTATTGAAACACGGTATCGTTAAGTACCGGTATCGATTCCTAGGTACCAGGAATTGGTACCAAATCGATTCA